AAACCAGTTTTATTAGTAGAATGTAGAAAAATGCTCTTAAAATAGTGGAAGTTTTGCAACTAATCTAAAGAAGTGAAGCAACAATTCTCAAAAAGTGAAATTATTGCGAAATTTCACAGCATTTTATAGGTGGATTACTATAATTTACAATGGTTTTATAGCAAGGAAAAATGATAAACATTAAAAGTACTTAATATATATACATTCACGAGATTTTTTCTGAGAATAAAAAGGTATACAACATGAAATGCATTATATATATATATATATATATATATATATATATATATATATAAATCGGAAGAAAACTATTCCATTCAAACTATCACCTGATCTATATCAGATTTTCAGTAGATTATGTAACAACTACTAAACCTAATTGTCTACCGTGTATTTCACATGCTTACTTCGAAGACATGTGGTAACAACGCTAATTCATTCTAGTCTGATGCTATCGTTCTTTTGGATATAACGATTCGATACTAATATATCATGATTGCATAAAAGTAAATTAACCTAATAATTTGTTTGATTAAATAATTGAAACACTTTTCTACAATTTATATACGTACACTTACACTCGTAGAAAAATAAGTATAGTATGAGTAAAACCATTAGATTTTGGGTTTTTTCTAAGGGAAATTCTAAATAACTATAATCCAATTTAACATCTGAAAGATCCACTACCGTCTAGAATGTGGACTATCAAACGTAAACTTAGTAAATGAACATTACCTTATTCGTTTAAGTGGTTACAAGTTCTATCTTATTTAAAGCAATTAATGTGTGATCAACTAGAATGAAGAGGTCTTCCAGTGATACATTATCTTCATTGATCTTTCATTCTGTTATATCCCCTGGTGACCCCTGTCACTTTCAGAAAAGGTTTTCCGATATCCTAGCACTTTTATTTATTTACCTTTATGATAATAGAATCTAGTTTCTTGATGTAGCTATTGGATTCTACAATGGTAATCCTTCTGCGACAGGAAATATTAAGATAAACCGAGCTTTTAAAAAATGAATTACCAATCTAAATAGAATAAAGATTTAATGCTTAAAATTATTATGTACCAAAAAATTCACCAGTTCACAACAAATTTCATAATCGCTAACTGAATCATGTCCAAAGTACTTACAAAATAAAAAAATCTGAAATTCCTTGAAACTATAGATGAATATGAGCATATTTTAATTAGTATTGGCTTGTTTATTTGATGTTTCTCTTCACCATGAACTCAAAAAAGGGAATCGAAGGCCGTTTCACCAGTAATGATATGTCACATATTTCTGATAATCTTCATCTTCTTATTACACTATCGAAATTTATCAAATGGACTAGTTGCTTTAAAGTTTGTTTTTGCCACTGAAGTGTGTTTGATTTATTAACTGTGATCACACAGTTCCATGAATTAATATCAGACAGAGAGTGTATGAAAACAAGAGGGTGATGAAAGACTTTTAATTTAGGTTGAAACGCCTCATCAACTTATTTCCAGGACCCTTGACCAATATATATATCGGTATTTACATATACTTAAGCAAAGGCTAATAAAACTAATTTTGTTTAATGCTGTCCTACAATTCATTTATGTTCCAAATTTAACTTAAGGCTGCTAAATTTTATCTAATGTGTGGATGAAGAATAGAGACTGCTTAGGATTCCAAAATTAGAACCAAACAACTATATATCATCTGCTTTCCATTGATTCCCCGAACCATCTTAATTTGTGGTAAAAATTACATTCTTCAAACCATCTTGGTGAATTATTTATTTTCTCATCAATTTCTCTCATATTAAACTGACCTTTTTTTGGTTTTTCGATTAACCAAATGACAAATATCATCAAAATTGTCTGTTGAAAATACAAGTAGCAAGTAGGCTAAAAATATTAAAGAACATAAAAATCAATCAGGTATTTTCATCAAAACCTTTATTTTCCATTTAGATGTTAATAACCCTCATCTTTTTTTCTAATTGACTATGTAGATTCAACTTGTCGCCACCTTATTTACATATTATATTGCTCCAATTAACCCGAAATAATAAAAAAGATTTTTATTCAGTTAATTAATCTAATCAATAATGAATTATTCATATATCCATTATTATTATTGTTATTAGCATTATTATTATCTTATAGTCAGTACTTTAAATGTCATTCTTACTATATCTTATTGAAAGCTTTTTGAATAAATCCACTAAACAATAAAATGATCTTTTATTTCCATGATGATAAATAGATAAACATGACCGTTTCAATAAGTCTTCCCAACTGTATAGAAATCAGAACAAACTTCTATTGAAAATAATATGAATATATATATGTACACTAATATTTATCAAGTTAATACATGTCACATTAGTATACTGTGCATCACCATGGCTCATCAGTGAATCATGTCCACTTAAATAACAGACTACCTACATAACTAGTTAACAAACTAACTAACTAACTAACCACTTTTTTATGTTTAGTCAAAAATCTACAGGAATGATAACTAACAATAGTCTCAATAATATACAATGATCAATTGCAAACTTATCTATACAAAAAGGAACAGCATATTCTTGTCCTTGTCATTCCGAATAATTTAACTATCTTGAAAATTACAATTTTTTTTAGTGGAATGATTCAGTTTTACAGCGTATTCATATAATTTCATTTCTTCTACTGTATATTAAGATTAGTCATTTGTTCACTCAGTTTTGACATAATCACTTTTTCTCTTTCTCTAGTTGAATTATGTAGAGAATAAATTGTTTACACCTTCATCAATAAAAACGGCAGCAACATACATCATCATTACCATTCTAATTTTGAAATGCTAATAATAATTATATTAAATTCTGCCAAAATTTCGACCAAAAATCTTGTTAAGACGTGTCATTCAACCTCTTTTTTATGTCACAATGTACCACTATGTAACTTTTGTCGATAAGTAGAACATATGTGCATTGATGAGAAAGTCAGCGGCCAAAAACAATGCAAAAATTAAAAAAAAAACTAGCAGAGAATACAAATGTAACTTCTCTTTTATTTATCAAAACAGAAACCGTTTGTATTTATTAAAAGTGTTACCCAAATATAATAAACAGTTTATTGGATTAAAACCAGTAAATTTTCGAAATGAAAACTGGTGGCTTACCGATAACCAATTAATTGTAAATACATTTAAAACATTATCTATTACAGTTTGATGTCAGTCCGAAAATCATTTAAACCTAAACGATTATTAGACACTAACTATTTTCTAGTCTCATATTAAAACCAAATTCTTCAAAGGATATCATCATTTCCAATGATAGTTCATGATTATAGAGACCCTTCGGTGAAAAGTTCTAACTGGAACTAAAATTAGGTTTACACCTTCCTCGTGATTGCCTCAAACAATCTATCATCAAGTGTTTTGCGTCAAGATATGAAGTCATGTTAATCTGCACTTTCCAGTATGATTGATAGAAATTGATAATCTCTGAGAATTAAGCAACATAAAATTGATCAGCATGTTCTGACTGATCAAAGTTTTCTTTTTAGAGTCCTATAAATTTATTTATTAATCTTAAGTATTAAATCAGTACTCTGTTACTAAATTTATCTGGTAGATGGTATACTCTCACTAAATTCTTTTGATAAATCAGTAAATTCAATTCATTTGATTCACATCACTTCATATATTTCAAATCATAAAATTGTAAGTCAGCGGTTTAGCGAAAACAAAACAAATGAAAAACATCTAATTTTAAGGGCCTTCTGTTTTGGATGGATTACTGAAGTGATTTCTGATTGTAAGATAGTTACATGAATCATCTATACGTTCTTCGAAGAACTAAATTTTTAGGACAAACTTATCAGTACCAAGTATTTGAATAATTCTTTAGTTTATTTTTTGAGTATAGGTATGCGTTAAAGTAATCTTCGGAAACCTGAATAAACCCTATTATAATGGTGTATCAGGCCAAGATGTCATATCACATCAGTACAGCAGCATAAAGTTAACAAGATAAATACCAAAGGAGTCAAATTAGTGGTAGTTAGGGTGACTGAACTCCGGAAAATACGGTTTCAAAAGAACAAATCAGAAGTGATCATGCACAGAAGATTACTGGAACTCAAAAATTAAAATAAAATAAAAATGGAATGCTTCCGGATCAATGAAACCAATTAACGTGATAAGAGACTACCGTAGTGAGTGGCGAGAAACAGTTGAATAACCGTGAAATCTGTTCCAAAGAATAATTGTTGGACGAATCCTTGATGAAAATTGTCTTTAAATCGAACAATTCTTCAAAAACCATCTATTTAAATCATGTGTCTCCATTAGTGGGGAAACACGATACAGATTACTTGGATTTGTTATAAGAAGTTATAGCCGATTAAACCAAATAAATCAATATTGAAGGGCCACTGAAACGACTTTAGTTCAATTCGATGTAATGGAATGTGCACGTTCGTACGCGAATCACAATGGATCAGCCGCCTGTTTCGTTCTCGTTTTGATAAATGATATCAGTTCATGGTTAAAACTACATACAAATATAAGTAAAATAAACACTATTGTCCTCATTCAAATTCTTAATTTATTCCAGTATTCATTAGAAAACTGAATTTCAGTATTTTAAATCTGTTATTGTTATCATAACGAAACTATATTTATGAGGTGAATAGCTTAGCAATAATATCTTTTGAAGCTGTATTGAGTAACCTGAACTTCTAACCATAAATAAGAATTTGGTCTTAATTTTGGTTGAGACAGAATAACAATAATCATTTGCAGTTTTATCGGAATACATTCTAGGAAGTCTGTAATTCCAAAGTAATAATGCATGTTTACATTCATGGCACAATTTCTCCTCATCCTATATCTACTTTCAGATAAAATTGAAAATCATTCACAGAGTACAAATTACAAGTTCAATGATAAGCGTAAAGTATACAGACCATCATTTTACATCGTCATACTAACGAACAGACATTGTGACAAATAAATGAACTCACATTCACAGAATTTCCACTTTGATCATCCGATAAATAACTATAATCTAACGCTTTTGAATCAGAATTTTTATGTATTTTTACGGTTGAGGATTCTGTAGATTTTATCATATTGGTGGGTAGTTGTGGAGTTAACAATAGTTTACCAGGAGTGTCATGGAAATATATTTGTTCTTTTTGTATTGTTGGTGATAAGTAAGAAGATGATGAAGAACCAGATGAAACGGATGATTTTTTAATTTTATTGGTAAAAGGAATTGAACCATAGGAAAGAAACAAAGAAGATTGCAGTGGTATTGATGATTGTATAGATGAAGTTGGTGGAGAACAACTATGTTGCTGATGATCATAAGAGGAGAGGAATTTCGGTGATTGATGTGTTAAGAAAGTCATAGACAATGTTTTCATAATTTCAGATGAAGGTAAATTCACATTTGTCAAAGATCCGTCCCTATTCAGAACACTTTTCTGTTCATTAGAATATATATTTACACAGTTAGATTCTGGTTCAGTTGCTGTCATTATACAACTTGTACTTTTTACTGATAACTGATCTGTCTTCACTTCAAATAACTTTTTCAAATCATTTGTTACTTCGGAGGGTTTCTTCAATAAGTGTTCATTTGTATTTAAACTACCAAGTATAGTATCGATTCCAAATTTAAGTTGATATTTCGACTGTTTAGAGGAAATTGGCCACAGTTCTTGATATTCGTATTGATTAGTAGCAGTAGTAGTCGTTGTTGCTACTGTTGATTTAGCTGGTGGCGATTCTGTTCTATTTAAGAAATTATAAACCAAAGAATTTTCCACGAAAACCGACTGATATCGGCTTTTTAGTGGTAGTTCTCTATTAATGTGACTTGGCTGTTGTTGTGCAATGAGCATTGTGAAGAGATTTGTAACGTCATTTGTTGTGGAGAAAATATTAGGATTTTTGTAAGAATAACTGTGTAATGTGTTATTCTCTAATGCATTCAACATTTTCTGCCAGATACTAATTATAAATTCTCTTGTTACGTAAATGTTTTTACTATTATGTGGAAAATATGTTTATTTCTTTCTTTTTGGAAGTGATCAATCGAACTACATTAAATGACAGAATCTATCCGGTGTTCAATGTTATTTATTTGTTTGCTCTGCTGTTACAACATGTTAATGCACACCTACATATATCAAGTAGAATATAAACATGTATGACAACTCTCTAATTAACAAATTGTTTTTTTCCAAATATGAATCTGTTTCGTTTTTTGTTATACGATTGAAAAAAGAAAGACCTTTTACCAGTTTGTATTTATTTAATTTCTTTCTCCTTATTATATTCACTCACTAACTCACTTTTTTTCTATCCATCTAAATCAATCTACTTACTATCGTTTAAAGCATTCGGTTAACGCCCACAATCTATAAACTGTAAACTTTTGTCATTAATTTTTTTTCTACAATTAGTATAGGCTTCCTTAGTAATAGCTAATTACTAACTTTAATTCCGTTACATGTACTGATTGCAACGAGGATTTTCTTTCCCAATAACTATGGAAGCGAATAATGAAAGGGGAAGTTGTGGACTGTGTGAGGGGTTATCTCACAAACGGTTTTCCTATTAAAAAGACCAAAATAACGTTGATTAGTTTTTTATATTTGTATGTATGCAACTATGCATGTGTGTCCTTACCTTGGCAAACAAAACTGGTCAAAACTCATAATTGAATTCTTATTGGCTGAAATAATAGAGAGAAAATAAATCACACTATCGCGTTTGCCGTAGATCATTCTAAAGAAAACTAGTTTCAAGTTATTACAGAATTCCCCCCCTCATCACATGTTTCAAAGTTCAGAAAGAGAGAATAAGTGTGCGGATATACATATCTTGACACCAGTATGTATGTAAATGACTATAAATGAAATAATATCGGTTTTTTATAGTTGAAGTCATGAGTCGATTTAAGCTAGACCACTATGGAAAACCTGGAAGCACTGGACAGCCGTTTCGTCCTATTGGGACTCCTCAGAAGTGCGCATCCACGATCCCGCCTCGTAAGATTCAAACCCAGGACCTATCAATTTTGCGAGCGAGCACTTAACCTCTAGACCACCGATCCGGCATCCAACAGTGTTAATGTCTAACTTCAACCAATCCACGGAATCGAGCAACCATCTAGAGGTTAAGCTCTCGCGCGCGAAATTGATAGGTCCTGGGTTCGAATCTCCCAAGGCGGGATCTTGGATCCGCACTGCTGAGGAGTCCCACAATAGGACGAAATGGCTGTCTAGTGCTTCCAGGTTTTTCGTGGTGGTCTAGCTTCAATTGATTCATGATTTCAACTATAAAATTACTAAAATCTCCACAAAAATTCCCTTTTGATAATATCGTTTTTTATTTAAAACTTACGGAAACCATTTAAATATATATACTCAAATAATGGAACTGTACTAGTATAATGTTTATGTTGACCACTCACTTCAGAGCTTTAAGAAAATATCATCAACGATTTGAATAAATATGTTTTCTTCAGTATGTTTATTGTAGTCGTATAATCGGTTCTTCAGATTATATTCTGCTAATGTTTATTGTTTAAATTAAGCGAACATTTAAGATTTCATTCTTGCAATTACTTAGTTTTACTTATGATGACCTGTATGATGAGCGGTATACCTACGTATGTATGTAAAGGATCACTGATTTTCAACGATGAGTTGAATGAATGCATCTTATACAACTGTTTGAAACTTATTATGTAATTACTATCTATTTCCAACTGTGTGATTGATATTGTCTGACTGATACACATAAGCAAGACAGAATAAACTAAAATCTAGGCTGAATGAAAGTTCGATGCTTAGTTATTTCTAGCATTAAAGAGCTGTTAAAATATCGAATAAAATTGGAAATGACGTTCATTGACTTTCTAAGTCAAATAGCACTAAGTATATAATGTATAATGGACTTATAGAGAGATAAGTGAAATCTGGACTAACTTATGACGTAAATTACATTTACAGAGAAGAATAGGAATCACGCAAAAGTCTATCTAATGTATTTTTTGGGAAAGCTAGCCTTAAATCAATGTGTACAAAGTAGTATCCTAAAACTTAATTTCCAGTTTTAATTAAACCAAATTATTCTTTGTACATTTTCTATTCATATTAAAGTACATCATATGACCAAAGGAGTAGGAACTGTTGCACTTGACAGAAATGACTATATTAATGAGGCAAATTATATCTCAAATGATTATCTAAACTTCCAGAAACTGAAAGACTAGAAAGGCATCAGTAATGAGATAGGAAATGATCTGACTAGATCTTCAGAATGGCTTAGAGGTCAACAGTCAGTTTCGTCAAATATTTATAGAAATATTCAAATGATAGGCATTCATTTACCAAGATTATATGGATTGCTGAAATTTTATATATGGATGTTCCGTTGAGATCAACTTTGTATAAGTCCCCTTACCATAATATAGTAAAGTAGTTTTCAACCTCTTTAAAAACAGTGGTGAAGCATGTTTGTAAGAATGTATTCCAATTTGTCGACAAGATTGAAAACATAAACATTGGTGATCTAACAATTGTTTCCTTAGATATGACACTATTATTAATTGATATCCCACTCACGAAGACTGTCAAATATATCTGTGTGGAGCTTAGAGAACACGAAATAGAAACTACAATTTCAGTTGACGTCATTAAAAAGTCATTAACAAAATGTACCATGAACGTGAACTTCATGTTCATTGATGAAATATATCAACAAATAGATAGTGTCGAGACGGGCTCACCACTAGGTCCCACGTTAGCTTACATTTTTCTAGATAAACCAGAAACCGTTCTTTGGCACAAATTACTGATAAGTTTTAATTTTACTACCTATATATTTTTTATAACTACCATACTGAACGGATAGAGACATTCAAGCGATTTAATGAAGTCCATACATCAAACATATTCATATGTGGTTAAAAACGTGGAATAGCCTTTCTCAATGTTCGCATTACGAATAAAGAAGGAGCCTACTGAGAAAAGGCACTTGGACTGGTCAGAGCACAAATATTTTCAGTGTTGTTCGCCCATAACGTAAAATTAAAACTTGTTAAGACACTTCATTGTAGAATCAAGGATATGGGCACTCCAGATACTGAGATTTTAGAGAAGATTTGTTGCTCAGGTGGATGGCTCTGGTGGAGTATTGTCCTCTGAACTGGATGGTTTGGTCATCCAGGTTTCATCGCTCTTCTGAACATCATCAGCACAAACTTCGAGTACTCCACTTCTGCCTGAAGTTTGTGCTGATAATGTCGTTCAGAAGAACGATGAAAGCTCCAAGACTAAAACATCCAGCTCATGAAGCAAAAGCACTCCAGATGCAATCTCAGATGAATTACATGCATACACATACATAGTCCTCTAAAAGAAAGTAAGTCCTCCGAGAAATTTAAAAATAAACATAGTCAAAAAATTTACTAAAATGAAGTCTTAACGGTAAGTAAAATGTCTGTTTATGCATCTATCATTTAGATGTGAAGCACTAAGGAAAGTGCTGTTGCAAAAGTTTGGCAGAGAAAATCAAAGAACTTCAAATGTCATAAAACTACAATTGATGTTTTCTATGAGTTAAATGGTGACTTCAAAACTGAAAGATAAATTACCTAGACTAGACACCTATTGTTATTTCTATCGATTTAACTGCTCATGTAGAGCAAGTTATTTTGGCGGAAGTTCTAGGGATTTGTATCTTCGTGCTTGATAGTACCTCTTAGTGTGATTAAGCAGAGTTTTAGTTAAAAGTGTTGACAGTTCAGTCCTTGCTAATTTAGTACAAACGGGTCAGTTTCTTATAGTAATATACTGTATTAATTATCGTTTTTATAAATCCATAAGACTGATAATCTTTCAAACGACCAAAGCAGTAGCTATTCAGATCCAAAAGCTGGATCTTAGCCAATTTCTGACCCAACTGGTTAACAATCACTTTTTGTTGATATTATGACATGATTGGATTAGTGTCCATATAGCCTTCCTCTATATTTTCATAAATTAAACCTATTCGGCAATCTTAGTATGATAACTATTATTGCTACTATGGCAAACACTTGACAAATTTAGTTATCACTTACCCCTAGTGGATATCATTTTAAATAATACATAGTCCACTAAATATTTAATCTGATTTGTAATTAAACTCTTGGTCTTCCCACCTACACCATCTACACTTACTCCTATCAATAATCTTATAATTTCCGTTTGTTTTAAGCTTTTATACACTAGTACTTCCAATGTTAACACTTTTAAATTTACTTCACTAACAATCCTAAATTTTATAAACAGTACTTTAAAATGGTGTATTTTTCTTAAACTCAGCTAACCCTTTCGGAACATTAATTTGAATTCGAACTTATCGAAAAGAATATGTTTCGTTCATGTATTTGATAATAATTGATTCAGCAAATTTGTGAGAGAGGAAAAGTGGACCATTGCATTTCAGCTGAGTTGTCCAAAGGTATTTCTAAATGATAAAACCCAATAAAACCCTCCTAAATTGTGCAGAACCTATGAATGAAATGATTTGCATTATTATATATTAACTGTAAGCATAGGGTTGTGGAGACTACTGAATTTCATTACAACTACGTACCAATCAATATTAGACAACCATTGAAAATATGGAATCATTTGATAACCGTTCCATCCTAGTATAGGACTCCTCAGAAGTGTGCATCCACAACCCTGTACACGGAAATCGAACCCAAGACCTTCGTTCTTGAGCACGAAAAACCGATAAGTGATCCCATTATGTACAAGTCTAACTTCAATCAGTCTACGATAGAGTGCGACCAACTTTCATTGTCTTCGGTCAGTACGTTTATGGCACTCGACATAGTTTAGATCCACTGGCCACGGTTTCTCAATAGGACCAAACAGCCCTTCAGTTCTTTCATGTTTTCAATGGAATGTAACTTTGATCGGCTCGTGATTTTAATGATATCATACATTAAATTTAGTAATCTAACTTTTTAAAATAATTATAAATGTCATTATTTGGTGTTATGTGTACTTAATGCCAAAGTCACACTATTTTCAATAATGATTATAGAAAATGAGACTGAAACATGGGAAATTGAAGTAAATTCTTTATATTGTTCTGAAGTATTGGGCTGTGTATAAAAGGGTGCCCAGTATTTGAAAGATTCGCAAGGTTTTGAAAGATGATCAAATGTAAATCAGATCCATTTACATTTCAATGTAACAAATTCATATGATCGAATTTGTTCAC